TCTCACATTTAGTCCTTTCATCCAAGCATGGGAATTTTTTTTTTAAATGTTTTATTTATTTCTAGGAGAGAGAGAGAGAGAGAGAGAGAGCGAGCGAGCGTGAGCAGGGGAAGGGTCAGAAAGAGGGAGTCACAGACTCTGAAACAGGCTCCAGGCTCTGAGCTGGCAGTCAGCACAGAGCCCGACGCGGGGCTCGAACCCACGAACCGCGAGATCATGGCCTAAGCGAAAGTCGGAGGCTTAACCGACTAAGCCACCCAGGCGCCCCCAAGCATGGGAATTTTTATCAATAAAAGGAGGGGAGGCTACAGCCCTGACCATCAGTCAGATGATTCTCAACCTCAAAAAGGGTCTCATCCCATAGGTTTGTTTTTTGTTTTATAATGTTGTGTCCTTGCGGCCCCAGCCAGTCAGCTCTCAAGAGACTTCGAATGAGGGGAATCCCAACATCTTGGTGCCAGAGCTACTGACTGGAGAAATCTCCCTTGAGTCCAGCTGTAATAGGTAAGACAAACACTAGGATTTCATAACTCCTCCAAAGCAAATAGAATTTAGAGATTCCACGATCATAAAATAATTTAGAAGAGAAGATGTCATCAAGTGGATTCTAGTAGGATATAGGATGCTTAGACTGAGGGATGACAGTTAAGATGCATTTGGCTGCAAGTTAGCGACTATCTAGCTAACGGTGAGTCAATACAGGAATGTTTATTAACAGTGAGTGTGGAGGTAGGGGTCCCAATTCAGCAAGGCCTTTTTTTCCTTCTCCTCCACCACCTTAAGCTTGTTAGCGTTCTTCCTCAAGTTTGTGGCCTTATGGCCCCCAAATGGCTGCTGCAATTCCAAGTACCACATCCTCACATAAACGTTTCCAAACCAGGAAGTGAGAGGGCCGCTCCTCACACATCTGTCTCTTTCAGTATGGAGGAAAGTCTTTCCCAGAGACCCTCCCCTCCCCCAGCAGACCTCTTAACTGGCTAAAATTGGGTCATTGTGTGTTCTTCCTGAGAGCTAGAATTTTGTTGGCTAGAATTGGGTCATTGTGAGTTCTGCCTGAGAGCAGTCACCAATAAATGGGAACAAGATTGTTGTGGTCAGTGCCAATTACAAATTGACCCTGGGCCTGGGGGATCTGCAACAGGGGATGACTGATTTGGTTGTCTAAATTCAGTGAAGTGAGTCAAATTCAGTTAAAATCACCTCCCTTCTGAAAATACCCTACTCTGTCTTCTGCAATATTTCCTCTCCCCCTCACTCCACACTTCCACGGGGGGGGGGGGGGGTGGATTCTGTGCACCATTCCACTACCATTAGGTTTCTCAGACTTCGTTTCTTCCTTCCCATTCTTTTTCTGGAATGTGATCTCAGCATCCTCTTCCCAGATCATAGGCTGCCATCTTGGTGACTTGATCTCCCTCCATCTGGATGGTTTTTCAGAACTGGCCTTAAAAGGAACTCAGCAGACTTGGCAGAGTTTTCAGGGCCACAAATGCCTTGGGGTCTTGGGGTCTTTTTTTTTTTTTTTTTGTCTTTTGTTTTAACTAGAGAGGTTATGTCAGAGAGAGGAAGGTAAAGAGTTGAGCACTTTCTCACACTATTTCACTTCACTTGTTTCCTCCATTGCAAACTCTGTGTCCCACTTCTAATTCTCCTCTCCCAAGAATCTACAGCCTGACCTCTTCCACATTCTTTCTACCTTTATTGCCACCCCGCTTCCTGCTTTTGGAGGATTGTCACAACCAATTTTGCAGAATCTCCGGCTTCTTGCTCACCCCCATCTATTCCTCCCTCTCAACCCAAACCTGGCCTCCCCTTTGCCTCCCCTCCCAGCATCTACATGAAGCAGATTTACCTCTCCTGCTTTGTGTTACAGCTGTGTGTTCAAAGGCATCAAGCCAGGAAAAGGCATCAAGTCAGCCTGCTTCATGTGTACCCAGCTTCCTCTCTGCTTCCTGCCTGCCCTCTGCCCTCCTCTGACGGACACTGGTTTATAAATAGTTTGAACTTGTTGTGGTACAAGCCTGCAGCAGATGAACGGCTCGCTGCTTTCCGCCAGGCTGTATTGAATTGTCTCTGCCAGTTTCTTAATGATTTTATGAGTAGGTTTCTGGCCACACTTGGAGATTTAAAACTTCTGGCTTCCTCTCTGTTCCCTATAAGCTGAGCCTTGACCTATGGCCCAGGGAACCTGTAGCAGGGATAAGTCAAGTCTACCCTTCCTCCCATCCTTCTGGGTTGTGCTGCCCTAGGGCTTGCTGAAGGGGGAATCCTTCTTTCTGGAAGGGAGAATCTCCTCCTCCATCCCGGCCATCAACGAGTTCCTTTTGTAAACCTTTAAAAACATATTTTTTAAAGTTTATTTATTTATTTTGAGAGAGAGAAGGAGAACACAAGCAGGGGAGGGACAGAGAGAGAGGGAGAGAGAGAGAATCCCAAGCAGGCTCCACACTGTTAGACAGAGCCAAATGCTCTGACTTGAGCTCACAAACCGTAAGATCATGACCTGAGCTGAAATCAAGAGTCAGACCCTTAACCAACTGAGCCACCAGGTGCTCTTAAAAACTTGTTTTGTTAACTAACCAAGTTATATTGCTGAGAAACCTTGTTCTTTAAAATCACAGGCTACCAGAAACTTGGCTGTTTGAAATCCTATCAGTAAGAATGGAACATCCCTCTGCTGCTAAGAGCGTCTGAGCAGCAAAAGCAACCTAGCTTTTCAACCCGAGCACTTCAGACAAAGAGTTTTCAGACAAAAATCCTACCTTTATCGTTTCTTCGTATTTTCCAATACGAAGAACAGGACCTTGGGCGCACTTCTCAGCCCGGGCCTAAAATTGACCTGTTTGCATACAGGCCTGCTTAGTTTGGAGCCTGGCAAGCACTGCTTCACTGAAACTTCACCCAAACATTCCCCTTGCCCCAAATCCTATGCTAGCACTGCCTCTTCTCTTGTGAGATACCCATGCTTCCCTTGGGATGGGGTCTCCTTTGGTCCAGAGGATAATAAACTTCACTTTGGGGGGGCTGCAGTTGTGTGAGACAGGCCCTCTCTCTGTGCAATGACTTCTCTAGCTCATGCATTCTCAGCAGGGCTAGCCAACATTGGCCCTCAGAGAGGCAGAGATTAGTTCCAAGGAAGCAATGGCTTGTGGCCTTCCAAAGGGCGGTATGCATGAATAGGTGTATAGTATGTCTGTTGTATTAAAGTTTCACAGGCAGGGAAGAGGAAGGTGTCGTGTTGGAAAAAATATCCAGAAAGGCTCCTTGAGAGGACAAAGACAAAAAGAGGTTTGAGAAACAGTCTGTTGCTAAATATTGAGGAGCTTTTGTGTCCATTGTGAGTCAGGTACCCAATCACTGACTCTCTTTTGCAGCGTTCTTCTGACCACGGTCTTGGGAGGTCCAAGCTGGCTTGATATCTCCCGGCATCCCCAGAATGTCCACGTCCCCCTTGAGTTTGCTTTGCCAACTGGTGAGAAGGCACGATACTCATCACTTAACACGTGCCCCACGCCACCGGTCTGCCAGTCTCGTTTCTCTGCTTCAGATGGGCACAGGGCAGCAGTCCCAGGATACACCTTCCATTCTTCCCTGAGCAGCCCTTTCCCTTGGCTTCCGCAAAATCTGGAAAGCACTACCACAGTCCCCTCTCCACCGCCCAGACAATGGCCCCAGCGTCTGATGACTTTTCACTCTCCCTACCCCTAGCCTTTTGCTCATACAGACTGGGGAGGGGTAGTGCTGGGTGATGGTTGGAAGCAGCAAAGTCCTCTAAGCTGCCTCTTATTCATGATAAACCCTGGGAGAAGGGTCAGGCCCCTGGTCTTCATGGCTCTTTCTAGAAGGTGGGGTTTCCAACTTCTTTTTGTCCCCTGTTGGGTTCTTGTTACCAATTTTGGAGTCACAGAACTCCATGTCACCCTTGTTCTCTTTCTGAACCATGTAGATTCATGTTTATGTTAATTTCTTAGCTGCCGCCAGGGACTGAGTGCCTTGGGACAGAAGATGAGTCACAGGTCAGAGAGATAGCTCAGGCCTTCGTCTCTACACCAAGATGATGGCTCTCTCCTTCCACCTGAAACCCAATTTCCCAGCCACAGCCACCCCTCATTCTCCAGTGACCTTAACCCCAGCAAGAAAGCAAATTCTAAAGGCGCTAGTATTAAAAGCCCTTGCCATTCTCAGCCCAGCCACCTGCACAGGGTGGGTTCACGACAACTATTTTTGAACTAAGGCCAAGAGAGTGCAAACACACCCCCACATCTCTCTGGCCACTTTGCTGGGAGAGGAGGCTCGAACCGACTCTTTCTCATGCACCACCCCTTTGGGAGAAAGGCAAACTTACTACCTGGTCACATCTCGCTAAAAATAGCGAAGAGTATACATCTGTCTTTGAAGTCAACTGTGCTGGCTAACTTATTTTTTCAAGTGGGTTTCAAATAAAGAATAAGGGAAGAAGACTTAGCAACGCAGAGAGCTGAGCTGCTTTGCATGTAGTTCCAGTTTTCCTCGTGTCCTGTTTACATTTGTCCAGGCCAGACTGGCTCGCTAGCTCTGGAAGCCCGACTGGGCCGGCCCCCTGCAGATGATGCCGATGATACTCAGCTGGAGTCAGAGGAGCAGAGGGAGTGAGAACCACCGGACTTGGAGTCTGCTAATTCCAGCCTCCAGCCCTGCTTCAATCACTTACTGGCTATAGGATCTCAGGTAGGAGGCTTCACCTGCCTGGGTCCATCCCCTTATCTGTAAAGTGAGTTATTCTCACTTACTTATTTAATAACAGTACCTGCCACAGGGTTCTTGAGAGGATCGAAGAAGATAATGGGTCAGGCCAAGTCCTTCCCCTCCTCCAACCCAGATCCTCACCTGGCATCTAGGCATCCTGTTGTTTAGCCCTTTCCCTCCGGAGTCTAGTGCTTTATCCTTCCATCCACCAATCCCACCTGACACAGATACATCATAAGAAAAAAAAGAAAACAGAACAAGGAAAGACCATTCTCTTTTGCTTGCTACCAAATTTATTGGTAATTTTTCTACCATCATTTTTCATGAATGTCCCTAAAAGTGTGAATTTATCAAACAATGGAAACTTTCTGGAAAAGTTCACGTGAGAGCAGGATGCTCCGTCAAGCCTGGGGTCCTGTGTCCCCACTCTCGACCTGCCTGGTAGGAGCAGCTCTGAAGGGTGGCTTCTTCCGCCGCCTGGCAGCTCTCTCAGGCCCTCATCACTGCTGTTGACTCCTCCCTTACCTTAAAGAAAGCCCAGGAGCTGGCCCGGAGCTCCAGCTTCTCTGGTGCCCGCCCCCCTCCTATTTCCCAGGGCTGAATCCACAGCGGGGAGTGGGGGCGGGGGATGGGAAGCGAAGGCAGTTGGGTGAGATTGAGAGCCGGGCTTGGGTGAGCCCATCCTTGTGCTCAGTCCCGCCAGTCCCCAGCCCCCTGCCCCCCAGTCCTGCTCCAGGCCACTGGACAGCCCGCTCCAAGCCCTCCAGGAGTCTCCCTCCTGTCCTCTACGTTGGACAGCTCCCCCGGCTGCCCGCCTCCTCATTCTTCTCCTTCAGTTGCACGCTGTCTTCTTGCCTCCAAGGGCTCCAGGCCCCTGTCAGCCTCCGCAGCAGCCCCTGAAAGTCAGCCTGAAATCCAGAGGATGAAAAGTAGTAGACAAGCGGATCCACGCAGGAGTTCAAGGTGCTGAGGAGCAGCACGTAGCTTCTCCACGCCGGGCTCTCACCCTGGATGTAGCCCACGATGTGCGACACGTTGTAGGGCCCAAAGCAGACAAGGAAGTTGAGCAAAGTGGTTGCCACCAGCCCAACCACCCTCCTCCGCCGCCGGTGGTTGGTGCCTTTGCTGAGCACCCACACCAGGTGGCTGTAGCAGTAGATGGTGATGAGCAGGGGCACCCCAAAAAGGACCACAGCCATCTCCAGCCGGACGGGCAGGAGAATAGCCAGCTGGTCCTTCTGGAATTCCAGGTAGCAGGTGCCGTTGTTCTTGGCCTTCCCGGAGAATTCCATCACATAGACCACACTGCAGTGAGCGGCAGCCAGGAGCCAGCAGGCCCCACTGACCAGGCCAGCCTGTCCAGGCCTTGGGCGGGCCTTGTACCACAGCGGGTAGGCCACGCTCAGGAAGCGCTCGATGCTTACAGCCGCCAGGAAGAGGGAAGTGAGATAGAGGGTGGTGAAGAAGACGGATCCGGAGAGGGGGCAGAAGATGAAGGGCAGGGGCCAGCGCATGCCACTGGCCGCCTCCACCATGCGGAAGGGCAGGAAGAGCAGCAGAAGCAAGTCCGAGAGCGTCAGGTTGAGCAAGAGCACTTCCACGGCCACCGGACGGCGCCGCAGCTTGCCCACGAAGATCACCAAGGCCGCCAGGTTGAGGGGGAGCCCCACGAGGAAGGTGAAGAGGTACACGGAGAAGGAGAGCCAGTGATTGCCGGAGGAGAAGGACCGGTCCGGACTGGTGTCCATGGTGATGACCACTGGAGAAAGAGACAGATGGAAGTGGCAGTCTGGGTGGGGACCTTCCTGCACCAGGCCGATAGCATCTCGACCATTGGCAGGGAACACTGTCACCACCCCAGCTCCCTCGTGTTCCCCTGATGCTTTCTGCAGCAGGGTCAGCCTGCCTGTCTTCCTGGTCACGCCCTGTTGCCTGTCCCTTTCCCCGGAAAAGCAAGCACCGAGACTCCCCCTCCAAGCCCCCCAGAGCCCCATGCTCACCTGCTTATTTGAGAACCCAACTGCTTTTCCCTCAGCACCTCGCCAGCTCCTCTAGATCAAGTATAGTTAGCTATTTATCTGGCAGAACTGATAAAGACGGATGACATCATTTGCCGTTGAGCAACCGCACAAAAGATGCCTTTTGCTCCATCACCAGCCCTGTGCCAGTATGCAAAATGAGGAGCAAATTCCACCCCTGCGTGCCTCGCTCTCCGGCTGTCTCGGAGGGGATGCTCTAGCCAGCCCCGAGCCGACCTCATCTTCCCCTCCCTGAGCCTCCGCTTGAATTTTATCTGCTTCTCTGGAATGGCAGTCATCCAATTGCCTTGTAAGGGCAGGAGGCACAACACAGGGATGGAGAGCCTGGACTCTGGGGCGAGAAGCCTGGGTGCGATGCCGGCTCTGTCACTCAGTCTGTGGTTTGGGGCAAGTGGCCTAAACTCTCGATCTCTGCTTTCCCATCTACAAAGCAGGGGTAATCATAGTACCAACTTCATAGGGTTTTGTTAGATTCAAGCATTACTACTACCTGTCAAGTGCTGAGAAGGGAAGCTGGCATGTTATGGTTAAGTACTAACAGATGTTAGCTGCCTTCGTCCCAGACATTGGTGTGGGCTTGTTTCCGAGGTGATGGGAATAACAATAATACTAATAATGATAATGATGATTTAGGGGCACATAATCCGTAGCAGACACGCTGCTTCTGAGAGCATCACCATCCTGCCTTCGTGCCTCACAGTGGGGAAATGACTCACTACAGGCGACATAACCTTGTTAAGCATCACCACCAGGGTTCAAACTCAAGTTCTGTCCAGGTTCCGAGACTATTTCTTTATGTATTCATTCAAATATGAGATACCATTCTATACCCATTGGAATAGCTATAAGCAAAAAATTAGATAATATCAGGTGGTGGGGAGGATGTGGAGGAATGAGAATCCCCCTCATACTTTTTGCTGGTAAAAATATAAAATTGTAGAGTGGCTTTAGGAAGCAGTTTCTACTAATAGGTATCTATGTAAGCAATGTTCATAATAGCCTTACGTGTAATGGCCCCAAAGTGGCCCCTGGTGGTCCATCAGCTGGTGAATGGATCCACCATGTGGCATATCCACAACGAAATACTCTTTGGTAATAAGAAGGAATGAAACACCCAGAATATGGATAGCAGCACATGGATGAACCTCAGAAACATTATGCTAAGGGAAAGAAGCCCTACATAAAAGACCATATATTGTATGTTTCCATTTCTACGAATTGTCCAAGATGGCGACTTTACAGAGATAGACAGTAGATTACTGGCTGCCTTGGGACTTAGGGGGAAATGGAGTCAACCATAAATGAGCAGGAGGGGGTCTTATGGGGGTGATGACGATGTTCTCACCTGGATTATATTGACGGTTGCACGCCTTAGTGCACTAAAAACCGTTGACCTCTGTACACTTAAAATGGGTGAATTTTGTGATATGTAAATTTTATCTCAAATATGTTGTTAAAAATGGTGAGCAAAACAAAGATTTTGCTGTCGTGGGTCTGGTGGTAGGGAGGTCTAGGGGGATTGAGTGGTAGGAGGGTAGAACAGACTCAGTAACACAGAGGCAGAGAACCACGGAGGAGGCACTTCAGACAAACAGACAGGCAGGTGCACAGGCTAATCTGCTGCCGGAACCTCTAGAGGGTTTAGGGCTGAAGGGGTGCAGGTCACAAGGGTGCTGGGGGTGGATCATGTGGGGCGTCACGGACCCTGGGGAGGGACGAAATTTCACCACTAAATGGAGGAGGCGCAATTCCCCGGAACAGGTGGCCCGGCACCAGCAGGTGCTCCAGAGCAGTGGGGGGAGAGAGCTCCCCTGGCTCTATGGGAGGGGCAGTGAGGCCACTTGGGCTGGGGAATTCGGGCTTTTACTGAAACTCTGCTGTCACCGCTGTGCGGGGAATAAACTTGTTTCTTGCTTCTGAGGAACCTCAGGCAATTTATGTAACTTCTCTGGTCTGTTTCCATCTAAAACAGATAATGAAATTTTCTTTGGAAGGCTATTGTGAGCCTTCATTCATTCACTCAGCAAACACTTCCTGAGAGCCTGCTACTGTGTGCCAAGCTCTCTTCTAAGGTGCTGGGGGTAGATCGGCAAATAACATTCCTTGCCCTTATAGACACTGAAGCACAGAAAGAGGTGGCTTGTATAAACCAGCCTGTGCACGCCAGGCATGTAGCTACCCGTTTTGTGCTCCTGTATGCTCGTGGCCTGACCGTCCTTAGAGGAACGAGTCTGCTTCCTGCATCTTGCCTCATCAGAGCGGGTGCCCGGACGTTTGTCTCTTCCATGGCCACGTGCCTCTCCTTGCTCTCGCGGGTTCAGGGTGCCACCATTTGCCGTTGCAAAGTAGACCACAAGGACAGACGTTAACACTGATATCGCAAGTTTTTTCCTATGCCCCCTGACCCCTGGGGGTCTTGCCTTGAAGGATCGCATCACGCCTCCTCCCCTTCCTTGCTCTAGAGCCTCAGGAAAATTTCTTTGTCCTGCAAAATGAAGATGATAATAATACTTGGCTCCAGGACCATAGCTAACTTAAGTAGCGCCTTTGTACAAATTAGGAAAAGGCACCCCACTCCAGGAGGCAGGACCCTTAGAATTAGAATAACATGCCCCTTCCTCTGGGTGGAAGTAGCCCCATGCCAGGTACATGGATTGGGGAGCACAGCACAAGTTAGAATTTAGTCAATGTTTGCCCGTCTGCCTGGCACTCTAGTGCAGTGAACAGCCTGCCCATCTGTACAGCAGCTGCATGGCCAAATCAAACGATTGTGTGAGTATGAAATGGGACAACACTTGTAAGGCACTTGGCATGGTGACTGTCCCGTATTAGAGACTCTGTGTCTGGAGTGGCTAGTATTTTCTCTCCCTGCTGAAGCGTCTTTTCCTACCAACTTCCCGTTCACAGTTCCAATGCTGCCCTCTTGTGAATTCCAAAGGGTATATCAGGATCAGTATCTTGCCTCCTGCCTCTTCTTTTTTTTTTTTTTTTAATGTTTTTTTTTTTATTTATTTCTAGGAGAGAGAGAGAGACAGCGTGAGCAGGGGAGGGTCAGAGAGAGAGGGAGACACAGACTCTGAAACAGGCTCCAGGCTCTGAGCTGGCTGTCAGCACAGAGCCCGATGCGGGGCTCGAACCCACGAACCGCGAGATCATGACCTAAGCGAAAGTCGGACGCTTAACCGACTAAGCCACCCAGGCTCCCCGTCCTGCCTCTTCTCTTATTCAGAAATTAAAATATCCTTTCCTAGGGAACGTTTTGGGAGTAACGTCCCCCCGAGCGTGTCATCAGTGTGTTGTTTCCTCCAGACTGGAAGAGGACCTCTCTAGCACGGGCAAGTGGGGCGCGAGGAGAGGAGGGACAGGCAGAGGTGGGGCGTCCTGCTGATGCATGCAGAGGCAAGCTTACCTTCCTTCTGTGACCTAGCCCCTGGCCTCCGTTCTTCCCTCCGACTGGGATGCCGTCTTCGGCCAGGCTCAGTTCTTCCCATGAGGGGCTCCAAGGGCGCTCGCGGGCAAGGCCGCCCTGCAGTTCCTTCGGAGCAGTCCCCGTCAGGGGCCCGGAGAAGCAGCCAGCCTTCCCTGCTCCATGCCCCTTCTCTCCAGCAGTGGCTACTGCTTCTGGGATGTCCCTCCCTTCGTTCTTGCCACACTTGTCACCCGGCCAGTACCCCCTCCCAAGTAGCCGGTCACCAACGGGTTGAGCACCACGCTCCAAGCCCCTGTGATGAGCCCCAGTTTCCGCCAACAGCCCCCCATGTCGGGGTGCAGGAAGCCAGCCACATTGGAGGCGTTGTAAGGGCCTAAGCAGAGCAGCAGTGTGAGCAGAGCCCCGCCGGCCACCCAGGCTGCCCTTAGCTTCCGTCTGTGGCTCAGGCCCGACCGGGCCAGTGCCCGGAGGCAGCCCACGTAGCAGAAGGCTGTAATGGTCAGGGGGAGGAAGAAGAGCAGGAGAGAAAAGCCGAGGCGAGCAGGGCCCGCTGAGGCCGGGTCCCAGGCCTCCAGGCAGACTGGAGAGCCGTTGACTGGTGTGTTGATGCCCAGGGAATTGTTGGTATTGTCCATCCAGCCTCCTGGAGCCTCCAACCCAAAGACCACCCCCAGGTAACAGAGGACAAGGGCCCATATGGCCGCACACACAGCCCAGGAGTACCGCGGCCTCCGGGCAGCTTGGTAGCCCAAGGGGAAGGCAGCCCCCAGGTAGCGGCCGACGCTCAGGGCAGCCAGGAAGCCCCCGCTGGCATAGAGTGGAGCAAAGTGGGCCAGGGCAAAGGCTGGACAGAGCGGGGCCGGCAGAGGCCAAGCGCCCAAGGCCAGGGCCTCCACCGCCTTCAGGGGCAGAGAGGCTGCCAGCAGGAGGTCAGAGCAGCCCAGGTGGAGGGCATAGACGAGGCTGGGGGTGAGGCGGAGGCGGGCATGCGACACGGCGCCCCCAATGGCCAGGACGTTGAGTGGGAAGCCCAGCGCAAAGGCGGCCACGTAGAGGCCGAAGGAGAGCTGCGGAGGCAGGTCCATGGGGCCGGGGCTGGCCTCCACGCTCCTGGTCTCCACGGTCTCCCCACCTCGGCTAGGCCGGTGCAGGGGTGGGGGGATCGGGGGCTCCGGGGATCACACTGCTCAGGGTACTAGAAGCCGTCCTGTGAGATATCAGCTGTCTCAGCGAGGGAGGCCCACAGAGGGAGGCGGCTCCAGCCAGCGGGCGAGCCTGGAGGAGGAGAAGCAAGGACCGCTAGCCCTCAGCCCTCCACTTTCTTCCCACCGTATCCGCTCTTAAAACACAACGGAAGCACGCAGGTCCCATTAGAGGGAAGGCCTCCTGATTTCTGAGACTGGGGAGAGAAAGGGTAGAAAATTAGAACAGAATTGAGTCCCACTGTGTGTGTGTGTGTGTGTGTGTGTGTGTGTGTGTGTGTGTGTGTTTCCCAGGACTAAGTCCTCTGTCCTACCCCAGTTCTCTGGGAAGAGAAGCAGCCGCCCCCCCCACCCCCACCCCGGGATTGTGGAGAGCCTGCCCCGCACACGGTGGAGGGGGCATGTTAGGATTTGGGTAAGGTGGCGGCGGTGGTAAAGGGCAGACGAGGAGGGGCACCAGGGCAGAGCCAAGGGTAAGTTGGGGCCCTTCGGTGCCACAGAGAATGACCTTAGCCAACCTCAGGGAGCATCCTAAGCAGGTAAACTGGGGGGTCTGGGGAATAATCGCTGTGGGGAGAAGAGCCACAGAAAGAGGGACTCACCTCTTGGCGCTGCCAGATGTCTCTGAGGCTCAGGAGTCCCCCTCGATGGCCTGAGGGAGGGTGTCCAGGATGGGCAGTGAGCCGGAAGGGAGAGGAGGGCGGGGTGGCAGAGCCATTAGCCTGAGGCACCAGCAGCCTGGCTGAGCAGCTAATGGGGCATCTCAAGCAGGAGCTGAGGCCAGGAGGTGAGGGTCCAAACAGCTGATGCAGACACAGGAAGGGGACAAGAGTGAGGGTTTTTTCTAGGTGGCGTGAGGAGTGTGTAACTCATCTCTTAAAGAAGCAGGGTTGTTGGGGCACAGCCAGACCACAGCTTGATCCTACCGCAGCCCAGCCTCTCACACCTGCTCTGGGCGCCATCATCTTTCTTCCTGGGTGAGCCCATTGGTGGGCCCCAGCCTTTTGGGCCCACTCATAGATAACAAACTTTGGTGGCCCACACTGTGTCCATTTGGTGACTGATATGTGGGAAAATGAAGTCATCACTTCAAGGTGCTTCTTCTGCCCTCCCTGGACCCACACAGGCTGTGGGCATGTTTTGGGAACAGAGGGCTTCTCTGTTTTCCCTCTCCTCTCCCTTCTGGCTTGATGACAATAGTTTCTGACCCTTCCTTCTGACGTAGGCAGGAGCGGGGAGGAGGACAGACAAGGGTGAGTCTCATCTGGTGGTGCTGGAGTGCTGGGCTGCAGTCCCCACACTGCCTCTCTCTGGGGCACTGGGAGGGACAGGGGCGGCGCTCCGTAAGGCAAGGATGGCGCGAGCCTCCCACTGGCCGCATGGCTTTCTTCTCAGCCTCTGAGAATTTGGCCTCTTTCCGTGTTGGGGTCACCTTGCCCTTCTAGGAAGACTTCTGAAATGAGATTTAAAACGGCCCCTCACTGTTTCTGTGATTGTGTCTTTTGGTCTCTGACTATGCCTATGTCTCTCTGTCTGTCTGTCTCTGCCTCAAATGAACAACACAGCCTCTCTCTGGACTTCAGTGTTTTGGGGAGAACGTGTTGGTCACCAAGCTATCGTCTTCCCGAATTCCAGGTCACCCAGAGCAAGCTTCTCTAGTGGCTTCCCGAAAGTGCTTCTCCACAGGCTGCAGGTGGGGCAGTGTGGGGTTCTCCGCATATCAGCAGTCATCTCCAAAGAAATGGTTGAATCCCCTTTTTGAATTTCAGGCACTAAGGCCTCCCATCCACGTCCTACATATGTGGTCCAGCCCCTCCCTTGGGATGTAGGAGAACTTGCCACCTGTTGTTTAGTATTTTGTCTTTGGGAAGCTGACAGAACCAAGGAAAAGTTAGAAGGAGGGCCATTTCCCCTCCTGTGACACGCCTCTGGAGAGGAGGAAGGCAGGGCGTGAAGGGAGACGTGGGAGCTTCACGATTTCTGCTTCAGCCCTGCCCACCTGGCGGCTCTGGTCTCTGCCCCGTGTCGCCTCCACAGAGGGCTTCCCTTGGACCGTCTCCACACACCCCACCCCCTAGGCTCTCTGTTTTCATCTCTTGTTAATCCTAGCACTCATGACCTGCGACATCAGATTCGCTAGCCCTTCTGCTAACTCATCTGTCCGTGAGGGCAAAGATTTCTGTCTGCTTTGTCCACTGCATGTCGCATATGTAGTAGGGGCTCAGGAACTGAATCAGTGGCCAGTTGTCTGGGCCCTGGGAAGACAGTGAGGGCTGGGGCTGGGTGGAGGGCCGCCTGGATTCTGGAGTCCTGGCTTCAGAGCTTCCTGACCTGCGGTGCACACCTCAGCACTGCCTGGTGACAGCCACATCTCTCAGTCAATTGGCCATGAAGTAGGTTTCTGTCAGCAGCAGGGCTTGGATGGGATGAGAAGTCACCCGCTGGTTGCCAGGGAGCATGTACCAGCCCTTCTCAGGCTCAGAGCCACCTTCAGTCCTTTGAGGGGACCCTGCCCTAAAACCTTTTGGGCACCGCAGACTCGCGATCCCCAAGATTAGGGTGATGTCGTATCTTTTTTGTACCCCAACAACTGATCTGTGCTGGACGCATTGACGGGTGCTCAGTAAATGTTTGCTGAATAAATGGTTGAATGATACTGGACCTCATTCTTGATACAGAAACCCCAAACCGTGACCTTTTCACTTACATAGTTCTGGCAGTCTCTCCTTTCTCCAGAAATGCTAACAGTGCTCACACGAAATCACACTGGGGACAAAGTTAGTTGATGGGGACATCAGTGCCTCATTGTGCCGTCATTCTAAGGATGACCAGAACATCACCTTTCTCAGTGGCACATGGGTGGCTCAGTCAGTTAAGCGTCTGACTCTTGATTTCCCCTCTGGTCATGATCTCAAGGTCGCGAAGTTGATCCTGCTTGAGATTCTCTCTCTCACTCTCTGTCTGCCCCTCCCCACTCGCACTTACAAATTTCTCTCTCTCTCAAAATAAATAAACATTAAAAAAAAATCTTCTCAGAGAACATTCTTTTATTGAGCGGATGGGAAGGCAGGGCAGGGAAGGAAGGTAGACCTTTTGGAGCACCCAGCACAGGCCAGGAGTTTGAATCCCCTTGCTGACTGATTAGCCACCTGTTTCTGCTTCTAAGAATAGACAGAGCAAGGTCAGAACTGAGAAGTGGAGGGGAAGCTGGAAGGACCTACCTGGAAAAGTCAGAATTAGCGAACATGATAGGGAACTGGTTGCAGTGACGGTAGGCGGAAGAAAAGCTGTGAGGTTTCTCAAGGCTACTGGCCTTCGAGAAGTTCTTGGGCAACTGTGGCTGTTGACCAAACTTGTCAGGGTCACTTTTGAGAACAGCTGTGAATGATGAATTGGCTTCCCCTTCTTACATTCTTCAAGAGATGCAAACAAGATGAGACTTTGGTTTTTAGGGACTTTTGGCTATTGTTTTAGGTTTCTTATAATGTGACTCCAGCATATGATTATATCTCACTTCCTCTCTCTCTTTCTTTTAACTTTATTTTTGAGAAAGAGAGACAGAGACAGAGCGTGACGGGTAGGGGCAGAGAGAGAGGGAGACACAGAATCGGAAGCAGGCTCCAGGCTCCTATCTGTGAGCACAGAGCCCAAAGTGGGGCTCGAACCCACAAACCGAGAGATCATGACCTGAGCCGAAGTTGGACGCTTAACTGACTGAGGCACCCAGGTGCCCCTTTCACTTCCTCTCTTGAACCACCTGCACGGTAGGTAGTGGCACATCCATTTTACAGATGAGGAAACTGAGGCTCAGATAAACTTGGTGAACTAGTCCAAGATCACTCAGCTGGGTAAATAGAAGAGTCAAGACTCAGACTCACATTTGTCTGCCTGGGGGGGCCAGTGTACCGTTTGCGACAAGACAGCAGACTCCCCAATCCGACGATTTGATCCTGAGGTCACCTTGGCTCCTTCGCCTTCTCCCCAAGCCCCGTGATGCCCTCTTGATCTCCCCGTCCTCACCCTGACTCCACAGGCTGGAAATAGTTCACGGGTTCTTTGAAGTGGTATCTGAGCTGTTTTTATTGTGCAGCTCTGTGTTCGTTACACATCTGTCCACACCACTGTGTGTCTCAGACCACAAGACCCCCGAGCGGTGGGGCTCAGCAGCGTAATCCTCTCCGCATGGAATGCCTCGCTGACACGTGGAGGAGAAACCAGCGCGGGCCAGCACCTCCTTCTCCCTCTTCTCTCTCTGTCCCTCCTTCCCTGGGCTTTGCCCCAGAGGCAGAAATCAGGCACAGGATTAATGAGGGGGCTTTCAGAGCACAGGTAAGGGGGGCCCAAGGGATGGAGAGGGTAAGAAAACAGTATAGTAACAAGCTGGTCCCAGCAGGAACACGGCCAGCTGGGGAAGGGGTCTGAGACCCAAGGGATGGGTGGTGGCAGATGGTGGGGGAGGGGCAGGGGGTTCGTGCGGTGCCAGGTAGGTGTTGAGATGACTTTCTGGGTGGAAAAGAGCAGACCCGGAGCAGGCCTGTGGGAGAGTCAGGGCTACCAACGTTGAGAAGGAAGACTGTCTCCAGCCACGTACAAAGTTCTGGGCACTGGCTGGGGCTTCCGTAAGTGTGCGCGTGTGCATGTGCATGGATGTGGAGCGGAGGCGGTGTAGCCTTGCAGCTGAGCGGCAGGGCCGGGGCCAGCTCCGGGAGCGCCTGGCCCCCGCAGTCCCCAGGCGCCTCTGCTTCTGCGGGCTGGGCTCGTCAGTGCTTGAGGGTCACGTATTCCACCGCTTCCTGGGCCAGAGGCCGCTCCCTAATCCCCAGGTGAACCAGCTCGGAGTAATGTATCCCCTCGTCTTCCGGACTCTCTGAAACCACGTTCTCGTAGTCTCCCTGAAAAAGCCACGTGGTGTAAGGTTGGCCTCACAGTCGCCAGCCCCCCAGTCTGCGTTCCTGCCTGTTCTCTCCTCGGCTCCACCTGGGGTCCTCCTGTCCACACACCGACCTCAGACCGGGAGGTGCCACCCTGGCTCTGACCACACCTGTGCCTGAGCCACCAGCCCTCGCCACCACGGAGGCCACTGAATCCCTCCCACCTGGGAGTCACAGCTGAGGTCAGGTCCCCCTCCGCCCACCTTCCACGGCCCTCTTACCACTCGATGCTTCTGCAGCACAGAGTAAGTGACCGTGCTGTCCCTGTTTGGGGAAGGTCCCTCTGTCTCTGGGGTCCCTGCGTCTCTGAGAGGGAGGGCAGATGGATGGCCGCAGATGAAGTACTTTGCACAAGCTCTCCTATTTCCAGCTCCCTGAGACCCCGAGAGCACCCCAGAGCTGGGCCTGGCTCCCGTGCCTTGCACAAAGGGGGCAGGCAGGACACGAGCCATCCTCCCTCCCAGATCCCTCACTCAGTACCCAATTCTTGGTGCGTCAGCGTCACTGACAGGAAAGCGCAAAGTCGCGTAACTGATGGCATCTTCCATCACCGGATTGTAGCACCCCAGGGAGTGGGGGTCTTCGGAGAACGGGGCCCTTCTAACCTAGGAGAGAGACAGGGTCTCAGCTCTCACCACTCCATTCTCCACCCGACACCCTCCCTTGCCCTCTGGCCCCCACACCTCCTTGCACCCCATCTTCACTTTGTCTCCACTTGACTTTGAGGTCTGCCCTCCGTTTCATCTTTCTCCCATGTCCTACCTTTTTATTCCTCACAAAGAAGCTCTGCCCACTGGAATTTTCCTGGGCCTCCTGCTGGCTCCGTTTCTTCTTCCAGCTAAAAAACAAAGTCCCTGCTCGGTGAGGCTCAGGGGAATGGGAACAGGGCCCCGTGGAGTTGGGCGTGCCTGGAGCCATGGGATGGCTAATTGGAGTCACTCGAGGGAAGGAATCAGGGAGAGTGGAGGGCATGGGCCTTGGGAGTTGCTCACCTTTTCTGAAGTTTGACCCCCCAGAACGCCAGGAGGAGGGCGGCCAGGCAGAACCCCACTCCCACAGCCACTCGCCTGCCGATGGTCTCTGGGCTGTCTGGTGGGGGAAGAGTGACTGTGAGCGGGTGACACTGCCCCTCTCAGACCTCTGGCCTGCAGCATCTGCCTTGGGAGGTGTCCTCAACCTGTGTGCATGCCGCTGTCCTCACCTTCCAGGCTCCCCTCCACACGTAGGGGACAGGGGACGTGATGCAGAGGAAGGGAGAAGGCAGCCTCTGCTTTCCGCGCCCCCGTGAGGAGGAAAGGGCCAACTCTTCTGGCAAACACCTGTCTTGTGACAGACACGGGCGCACGCACAGAGTACGCAGTAAAGGCTACCACTTGGCCTTCCTTAGCAGAACGTAAAATCACTTGCTCTTTGACATAGCAGTGCCGTCTAGGAATTTATCCTGCCTCCGTCCTCCCTGGGGGCCCAGAGCCGGAGACCGCACAGGGCCGTGGGGAAGGCGCCGAGCGCTCCCATGCGTGGGGAGACTCTGACAAGACAGCCCCGAGGGAAGGAGGCAGGCCCTGGGGTGCCTGCCACGTGGAGACCCCAGAAACAGGCTTTCACGCAACGTGCTGCATTTCCAAATAGCCCTGCTCAGGCTGCCTCCCTCCAGCATCCAGCTCTGCAGGCCATGAGCCTCTCAATGTAAAGCCATGGCTCCAAATTTAATCTCCAAAGCACAATTAACAAATTAAATGTCTCCCCTCTTGTTTCCAGACCCTTCAGACACCCTGTACACGCGCACATGGAGAACAACGTCCAAGTGGTATCCTTACGCGGGGAAAAAAAAAATCCCAAAAACATCCGGGGCAGTGTATGGGCTCTCCCACGATTTGCGTGAAGAAGGGTATGTAGGCCTCGATCTACTTAAGCGTCTTGTGTGTATAGAATAGCTCTGGGAAGAGATGCAACCAGCTGCCGGTAGTGGAGGCCTTCAGGGAGAGGGCCCAGTTCTCAGGGAGAAAGAAGGGAGACGTGGCTTGCTACCATTTACCCCTTCATGCTGTTTGACCTTGCCTTAAAAAAAATGCTAAAATCTCAAAAGATAAAGAGAAGCCTGGGTGGCTCAGTCAGTTGGGCGTCCAACGTCGGCTCAGGTCATGATCTCACGGATTGTGAGTTCGAGCCCCGCGTCGGGCTCTGTGCTGACATCTCAGAGTCCAGAGCCTGCTTCTGATTCTGTGTCTACGTCTCTTTCTCTGCCCCTCCCCCACTCATCCTGTCACTCTCTCCTTCAAAAATAAATAAACATAAAAAATTTTTAAAAAACAAAGATAAAGAGAAGTAGCCCATCAAGGGTGAGACAGAGAGAGGCAGAGAGAGACCCAGTAAGAGCTCAGGGTGTCTGGAAGGCAGGGGCAGCCTGAGAGGGAGCCCTCCTCAAGAGAATCAGGAGTGATGGAGAGAAGCAGGGAAGACAGGTGAGTGTGGGGGGAGCCGGGGGTGTGCGTGGGAGTGATGTGCCGGGCTGCCCCCCAGGACTGGGGAGGGACAGGGGAAGGAAGGAGAAGGAGGGGTTAGAGAAGAAGAGGGAAGGAGGCTTACAGTAGACAGTGAGGGTGCTGGGGGGCGACCGGCCCACGCCCAGCCGGTTGAGCGCCTGGCACCGATAGGCTCCGGTGTGCTGGACCTTCACGGGATCCAGTCTCAGCATCTGATCATAATGCTGGAGGTTTTGGTTATTCTGGTCAAACCAGGTATACTGGAAGATGGGAGGGTTGGCGTCGCCCTCGCATGTCAGGACTGCTTTCTTCCCCTCTGTCACTCTGTCCTTTGGGCCGATGGACACACGCAGCCTCCTGGGTGCATCTAGAAGGAGAAGCGAAATCAGGATGCAGGCAGCCTGCCACCTGCTCTTCTGTCCGTCTCCAGCTCCAGCCACTCACACAGCACGTGGAGCATCCTGGCCTCAGACACGGTCTGTCCTATGGAGTTGTTGACCAAGCAGTTGTAATTGCCAGCGTCTTCTGGAGAGATGGCGTCAAAGCTCAGTTCTCTTCCTTCCTTCAGAAAGATTCCATTTTTCTTCCAGAAGAAGCGGACGTCTCTGGGGCGGCTACTAGAGAAGTTACATCCAAGGAGGACTCGGTGCCCGGAGTGAATCTCAGAAGAGGGGCTGATCTGCTGGACCCTGACGTCCCTCGGGGCATCTGGAGAGCAAGGGCCTCAAGGGTCAGGCTGACCCCTTAGGTCCCCTTCCCTTTACTTGCCCCCAGGACTTCTCCCCTGGGCCCTGAGGCCAGACTTTCAGCCCTCAGTCGTCTGTGAAGATTCTGGCCCAGACCCCAGTCCTGTCCCCCTTAGAGCCCATACCCCAGCTGGGCCACCTCTCTGCTGCCCTCGCCCGGTCACTCACGCTGGACATCCAGGTTGACAGAGGAAGCCCGCGAACACCACTGATTGCAGGCTGCACAGGACACTGGTCTGGCGTCCCAGGAAACTTTCTCAATTATCAGCACTTTGCGGAGTTGCCTTTTCCAGGAGCCTTGGAAGTTCCATTCGTACCGGGTAACTCCGGGATTACTGGAATTGTAGTTACAGGACAGGGTCACATTGTCTCCTTCTCGAATCGGTGTGGGGTTTTGAATCACTGTGGTTACCTCCTTGGGAGGATCTGGGAGAAAACCAGAGAGATGGACGAGGGAAGGTCAGCTGTCCAGTACTGCCTTCCCCAGCGCCTCCCTCTCCCCCACCCGTGCCCTGCATTCATCCCGTTCCTAAATTAACCTAAGGAAGTCTTGTGCTTCCCTCTTGCATCTGTGTGAGGACAGAAACCCTGGCCATTTGGCCTGGCCCCGGTTTGAGGCGGGTTGATGCGGCAGTTCAGGGCAGAGCTCCAGCAGAGAACGCGTGGCATGTGAGGCGGAGGCGCACTGCTTGTGGGCCTCCACATGGGCCCCGTGGGCCAGGGACACAGAGCTGGCTCGCTGCAGTGCAGGCATTCATTGTGGGGAGAAAAGGGAAAAAGCACAGCTCTGGAGCCAGATCAGCAGACCCTGTGACTTAGAGCTGAGTGATCGTGAGCCACAGTTCACTTGTCCATCAGATGGGGCCCTGAGAGCACCTAACCTTGTATGACCGCTGCGAGCACGAAATGAGCTGAAGCAGCCTGAGCAGAGCGCACACTCAATAAACACTGCTGCCGCCACTGTGTCGCATGCCCACTGTCTATGTGCTCGGGATGTGAGCATCCCCATCAGAGTATCTGGCTCAGACTCTGACATCCCAGAGTCTCAGGATTATACCTATGGATTCTCTCTGTCCTGGGCTCAACTCACTGACAAGATTCACTGTGTTAAACAGGGTCTGGCCTCTGATAGAGGGGTCATGAGACATTTTGCTCCACTTCTCGAATACATCAGGCCTCTCCTGGGGCTCGGCCACTGCCTAGTGACGCCAAGTCTCTGTGTCCCTCGTGGGGCCCTGGCATCTCACTGTTCATTCACTCAACAAACATCTACTGAGCACCCACCATGAGCCAGACCCTGTTCTGGTGCTGGGTGTATGACTGGGAACAGCAGCAATGCACCCACCCGAGGGGCGTACGTGTTAGAGACCCCAGCCTCTGTGTGCCGTCCGTTCTAGGACCCAGGAATCCCCTGTGCTCCATCTCCCTTCCTCCTTCTCCCTCTAGAACCCAGAGGCCCTGTGACTACTCACATTGGACGTCTAACTCAGCTTCCTGGCCAACTTGTCCAGGACCAAGTCTGTTTTCTGCCAAGCAGGAATAATGCCCAGCATGCCCGAGGACAACCTCTGGGATCTGGAAGGTCTTGCTTGTCCTTCCCGGCACTTTTATATCATTGTGATACCAGGTGTAATTTGTTGGAGGAGGGTTGGCCAGTGACACACAAGTCATCTCTACTTTGTCTCCCTCCTTAGCTGGTGAGGAGAGGATCTCAACCCTGGAAGGTCCCGGAGCATCTGGAAAAAGCCGTAGAGGCAGAGGAGAGAGGTGAGCCAAGGCCTCCATTGCTCACCTCTCAAGAGGCTTGGTTCCACCCCCTGCTAACTCCCTGCCTACCCCCCTCCCAGCTCCCAGGACGCTCACGGTATACTTGAAGGACCACTTCTTCCGACTGTCCTGAGCCTATTTCATTGGAGGCCTCACACTGGTACTTTCCACTCATCTCCTTGGTCACAGAGGACAGAGTCAGCGTGAGTGTCTCCTGTTCCATTAGCCGGGTCCCATCCTTGAGCCAGGCTATATTCCAGTGCGGGGGGTTGCTGCTGAGGACCTGGCATGTCATGGTCACAGACTCTCCCTCTGTTACGTTGGCTTCTCTGGGACTGGCCTCAATCTTCAGCTTTGGGACATCTAGAGGAGCAGAGGGGCAGTGTGGGGGGGAACTCTCAGAGGGTGTAATGTGGTGGGAAGTTGCAGGGCTTTGATTCTGACAAAGCAGCAGTTAAATATAGTGTGTGAGTTACCCTCGTCCACGGGTGGGGTCCAGCACCCAGGTGACTGTCACAGACTCCTAACTTGTCTACTCTGCACACCTGCCCCACCCCCCCGCCCCCACCGCTCTGCAAAGTTCTAGTCTCCACCAGTTGCCAACAGCCTTCCTTCTACTGTACTTGGACTTTGTCACCCCCCTGCTTGAAACCATTCCGTGGATTCCACACTCAGAATATAATCCCAAACCCTGCTGCAGCCTGTGAGAGCTGCCCTTGCCCTCCTTTCCTCCCGCTGGGCCCCTTGATCCTTCGCAGGCACACCCAGCTCCTACCTCGAGGCCTTTGTCCTGGCTCTTTCCTCTTCCTGGATTCTTCTCGCAAGTAAATATCTGTGTGCCTCAGTCTTTCCATTCACTCAGGTTCACCTTCCTCAGAGAAGCCTCCATCCCTCCCTCCCTCTGCCCATGCCCGGCTTTATTTTCCCCTAATACACTCATCACAGCCTACAGTTCAGTTCTGTATTTCTTTGTCCATCTGCTTGCTGTTTGTCTCCCCCACCTGCCATGCTAGCTTCAGGTGGGCAAGAATTTTGCTCACCACTGCATCTTCAGTGGCCGTAACAAGGCCTGGCACCTGGGAGGCGCCCAGGAAATATTTATTGAATGAATGAATGAGGCACAAACAATGATGTGAAAACATCTCTTCCCCAGCCCAACATCAATGCCTCCCGTGTAACCACGTGATCTCAACTCATGTCATGGCTTGAGGATATTGAAGTATTTTATTCTGTTAGACCAAAGCAGGTGCTAAGATGAATCCGTTCCCTGAAACACTGGGGCTCGGTAACGGGGTGGGAGGGTGGAGAGTGCACAGCCCTGGCTGGAACTTTCCCCCTAATGGGTGCCCACGGGATTGATCGTATTTCCTTTCGTGTAGGTGCCCAGCACACTTGGCGCCCTCTCAGGGGCAGTGGAGAAGAGACAAGACCCTTGTCCTTCCCTCGGTGGGGGGGTGGGGTGGGGTCCTGGGGGACACTCACGCTTTACGTCCAGCTTCACGGTTTCCTCAGAGAGCATCTGCTTGTCTTCGTGGTCCCAGAGCTGGCAGGAAAGATTCTTGCCATGGTGAGTCCACTGCGGCTGGAAGGTGAGCTTGCTCTGCGTGGAGATGGTCTTGGTGGTCAGGAGGGTGGAGGTGACAGCAGGCTCCTCCAGGGACCACTTCAGCTGGATCTGGTACTCGGGGCAGGCGGAATTCAGCGAGCAGGTCAGAGTGACTTCCTGGGATTCATGGATTTCTGGAGGGAGCTGGATGTGAGGTGAGAGAGGCGTCTCTGCAAAAGAGTAGGGGCCGTGCCAGAGGCCTGGGAGACCACGGGCCTGTGGGCTAGCTTCACACACCTGCTTTTAGACACCTCCCACCCCAGATAACCCCTCAGGAGCCCCTTGCCGGTCCCTTCTGCCTCCCCACCTCTCTCCAGGCCCACCTTCACTGCTGCGAATCACTTTTGCTCGGTGGAAACACTCTTTCAAAGGTCTTGTGAATGTTGCTGCTCCCCAGGAATCTTGTTTTCTATTTTATATATACCTCTTTCCCCCTCCCTGATGTTTGCTGCCTAAACATTTTCAAGATGGCTGCCCCATCCCAAATGAATTTTACTGGTTGAGGTCCCCACACCTTTCTTGGCTTTGCTGGCCAGCCTGCGTTTGTAATGGCCTCCACACTGGAGACCTGTATGTAGCATGACATCCTTCAGTGGGTGCCGTGAGTGGGCCTGTGTGTCGCCAGCTCTCCCCGGGGCCGGGCCACCCTGAGACGGCAGGTCTGAAGCCACAGCTCTCACCCCCGTGTAGCTGCTTAGACACCCCCACCCCCACCACCTCAGAAGATACAGGCTGTGGGGCGGAGGCCCCTGGCCTGTGCTTGATTCATCCTCTACCTGTGTCTCATTTAGCCATGAAGGCTTAGTTAGAATTAATCACCAACAGTAAGGCATTGGGAGATTTCGCTTGAAAATCCACATTTCCATCTCCTCTTGAAAAATCAGGTAACCTGGACCCCAGATTCCAGAATAAGCAGGAGCTGAGTGGCAGGTGGGAGGCCTGAGGAGAAACCAGCGCTCCGGCCACAGCCCCATTATCTTGTGCTGCCCAGGTCACTCACTGGCACCTCCAGCCTGCCTCCCAACCCCTGTCCCAGGAGCTGGACGTTTTCCACCTCCCTTCTCTCCCAAAACCGAAGCAGAGAACCCCACTGCCCAGGGCCTTACTAGAGACATTGAGGTCTATTCTCTCCATCCATTTGTCATTCTTCGTTGTCACTCTTAGCCCAAGCCAGCCACTCTCGTTGACGGACACAGGGTAGATGCGTATGGTGCAGTTGGATTTTCTGTCTCCCACAAATCGAAACTTGTCATGGTAAGGCAGAATCTTCCCAGCCTTCACAGCCTCATAAAGGATGTTCCCATTGAAGTTTTTGTGGGTCTCGTTATATTGATAGTTGTGGTACAGGGTCAGGTTTTCCAGAAAACCTTTGCTCATTGGAATTCTGTAGCGACAGGGAATCCAGACGCAGGCCCCTTCCCAGGAGTAGACGGTGTGGGGGTGCTCAAACTCCCATTGGTCAGAGAAGGCCAAGTATTCTGGAACCCACCACAGTGATCAAGGTACACAAAGAAGTGTATATGCACACACATCCCCTGCCTGTCCCCACCCTCCCCAGTACTTACTCTTTGCTCCAGAGCCTTTATCCTCCTCTAGCTCCCACAGACATCCCAGAACCCAAGCTTAGGCCACAGTCCTTACCAAGGAGCAGGAGCGAGGGGCCGAGAAGATGCATGGTGCTGTGTCTAGGCAGGAGCCTGGGCCGGGAAGAGTTGTCTTTGAGCCATCTGGTCACTTACTTCTTTCAGATGGCTTTTCTTGCTCACCCACCAAACTCCAATCCCTCTTCCCTGATCCCAGGAGAACCATATCTGGTTGCCTTGCAGGATGTGAATTCTGGATGTTCATGGGGCCTTTTGTGGGTATGCCATGTCTATTCTCTCGGCCTAAGAACTCTGTAAGGCTAGCCTATCCCTCTTTCTAGCCCTCCTTCATTTCTTCCATCCATCCTTCCTTCCATCCTTCCATCCATCCATCCATCCATCCATCCATCCATCCATCCATAATTTTACAAACTTCCTGCCCAGCTCTCAAGCTTTGAGTGGTACCAGACTCCTGAGTGCCTTGAATTCCAGGCTTGGGGTTACTTGAAGCTCACCTTGAGGCATCTAGTGAAGCTTCTTATATAAGAGGAGAGCCACGGTCAAAACTTGATTTTAAAGACCAGTAACAAAATAACTCTAAAACTAATAATTGAGTGTGATGCCAGGAGAGCATTTAGAGGGATCTGGAAGGACTTAGGAGAATGTGGTCCAAGGGTCCCACTTAGCTACCCCTGGGGGCTGGGTTGAAAACATAAATCAACCAGGTGGGGACAAAGGTCATGCCTCGGGTAAAGGCAATGACTGTGTCAGTCCCAACTAGTTGTTGCCAAGTGGGAACGTGAGCTCGGCACTGCCTGATCTTCCACTGCTTTAAGAAAAGTACGAAGCTGGATGTTCATGTGAAATGTCCTGCTTTCATCAACAAACAAACAAACAAACAAACAAACATGGTGCTGGCCAGTCTGTGGGCTGGAGGCAGTCCAAGGGCCCCCAATTTGCAGCTCTGCCCATCTGTCTCTCTCTGATCAGTGAGTTTATCTGCCACCTTATTAGACTTTTACATAGAGTTACATTTACATAGAGTTAAATTTAAGTCCCAATTTGCATGACTGGGCCCCTCCATGCCAGTCCCTCTAGAGTTAGCAGGATGTGTGACGGAGTGTGTCTCCGGTCTCAGCATAGACCTGCACCCCTCCCACCTGCCCAGCCAACATTTCCCACACATCAAACGCCCCTCACCCCCTGGGGCTGTTTATCTCCTTGGGCTGCGTGGCTCATGCCAAATGCCATTGGATGTCTAGTACCCGGCATGGGGGAAGCTAGGCTGCTTGCTGAGAAGGAAGGGGGGTTTGTCCCCTGGCGTAGCATCTGTGCTTGCCTGGCCCAGGCACGGGGTAGGGGTGAAAGGTCTGAACTGGGATGGACTCTCCAGGCAGAAGCGACACCAGCTCTGCAGGTGCTAACAGAGCTACACACAAAAACACCTTTAATACCATGTCCACTTGAGAAAAACTGGGTTAAGAAGGTAAATAGAATTTTAACTGTGGGTCTTTTTGATCCCTTTAATCAGCTGTGTGAGCATCCTACATCTTCCACCATGGGGGGCAGAGTACAGTACCTTGCCCAGGCTTCTTGAGCCATGGGACCGATTTACATTTCCTGTGAAAAACTTGGCAGGGCTGCAGGGTCAGTGTTTTGGGGGATGCGCTTTGAGTTCCCTTTGGGTTTCCACAAGCGCTGTGGTGAGGGCTAGATTCCATTCTGGGGCAAAGGCTAGCCTCCAGTAGCCGGACCATTGTGCCCCCTCTACCATCAGCTGCACCCTCATGGGGGAATGGCTTGAGAACACCAGGATGAGGGGGAGAGAGCAGAGCTGCGTGCTCACCCCCAAGCAGCTCCAGGCAGTCTCTGGGACATAAGAAGTGGGACCACAGACCAGGAACTGAAAGGCTGCTGAGACAGGGTGGGGCATGGAGGCTGGAGACAATAGGCATTGGGCACAAAGGCTCAGGATCAGGTCATGTTATCCAGACCCATAGGCCTGCTGAGGGCCTTTCAGGATCTCAGAGCCAGCCTCCCTGAGTCCTTTCTTCCCTCCTGGGCATCTGGTGACCCATTCTACTCTGAGAAGACTCGGCAAGCCCGTCAGAGGACATGCTCAAAGATGGGGGTCTACATCCTGTTATTACACAAGCAAGAGGGAGGGGGGGTCCCCACTGTGCTCACAGCCCCAAGAACTGTGCCTGGGACACAGCAGCTGCTCTATGCTGGCATGCCGAATGCAGAAGAAAGCAAAATAATTTTTACCTGTTTCCTCGTGTCTTCTCTCTTCGGGGTCCCTGGCAGCATCTGAGAGTGAAAGGGGAAGCACAGCAAAGGATTTTCACCCTCCTTGGCCACACCCCCTGACCCTGTGTGACTCTCAGGGCAACCAAGAGGCATGGCGAAGTGGGGAGTGGGGAAAAGGGGCTATGAGGGCAACGTGGGCTTGGAGTCAGATTGGAAGGAACACTCGAGTATCAACAGTCAGTTTTTAGTTTCAGCATATGGAGTTTCTACGTCACATAGTTTCAGAGCTGGTCCCTCCACAACTTCCTGTCTATCCAGCTCTCAGGAAGTGCTGATAATTTAAGCCAAGCAGATTAGAACTGCCAGTCTGCCGAAAAAGGCACAAGGCAATATGAAAGTGTTTGTACTTAAGTGATACCATCCAGTTATTCTCATTCCCATAACTTTCTCTCCAAAGGCCAGAATGGTCAGGAAATCTGATCACTTACACTGATGCTCCAGCAGCTCCCAAGGGTTGAGGGAAGAGCTCAGAGATATCAAAAAGAAAAAAGATAACTTAAGTGAAGTGTTAATGAACGAGAAAATCTTGAGACTAGAACCTTGCCCCTTTCATCAGCCTTCTAGTCTGTGAGTGCCTTGAGACCAGAACCAGACATCAGGCAAAGCCATTCAAATCCTACAGATGGTCAGGGAAGCTTCTGAGAAATCTTCACCTTGGCATCACCAAACTCTACTGATTGCCAGCCATTGAGAAAGAAAGAGAAAAGGAGAGGGGCACCTGGGTGGCTCAGTCAGTTAAATGTCTGGCTTCAGCTCAGATCATGATCTTGCAGTTCATGAGTTTGAGCCCCATGTTGGGCTCTGTGCTGACTGACAGCTCAGAGCCTGGTGCCTGCTTTGGATTCTGTCTCCCGCTCTCTCTGCCCTCCCCTGCTCTCTCTCTCTCTCCCTCTCTCTCTCTCAAAAATAAATAAACATTTAAAATTTTTTTAAAAAGGAATGAAACAGAAAAAGAGAACTGCTTGTTCAAAAGACAGTAATGTTATAGGAAGGTAAATTCTTCCCTATTTCTTCCTCTAAGAACAACTAAAAACCCAGAATGTTATAAAATAAGATGAAAGATTGAGAGAAGACACGCTGGCTAGGGACTTTGGAAGCTGAGGAATGACATGACCATGAATTCTCTGGGTTTTCTCTTTGCTTCATCTATCCCAGACTGAATACTGAAGAAGCAAGCAACTGAAAATGCCAATGAGCACAGACAAAAGAAAAGTTCCGGCAAAACTCTGCTCTTCGAGCTAGAGAACCAAGAAAGGGGCAGCCCAGAAAGACAGAAATCTTTCATGCAGAAACTTCTCTACTCCAGTGAAAAACCATAAAAACCTACTGCTTCACTTCCACCCCTGACAGCAAAGGCTGAGTGGGACCCTAGACTTCCACCCTTGCCAGGCCACTCCCCGATACCACATCTGAGTGGTGCCAGAGGAGGCTGAGTGTGGGGCTGGGCCCTCCAGCCTATCTGGGCTCTTCCTTCCCTTCAGTAGAAATCACATGGGGAGCCTGAACATCCACCCCCCACCCTGTGATGAGACATCTAGGGGAGAGTTAAGACTTTCACCATCACTCAGTGATCATAAGCCCAACTTCTGTGGAATATTCATGAAAGCCATGTGGAGAGCAGTGATGACGTACCCTTCCTTCTCCCAGTCAACGTGGTATTAATGCATGCATAATGGAGAACCTGCTCTTCCACCCCTGCCCAACAATAAGAAAACTTCACACACACACACACACACACACACACCAGGTGTCAAGAAAGGCTGAGTGGAGAACCTGAACTTCTACCCCCATTTGGCAATAATGAGGCAGTGCCCCCATTCATTTCACTGGACCAGTGTCAGGGGAGGCTTGTGAAAACACCAATTTAAATAATATGCAGCCCCATAAATAATACCCAAAATGTCCAGGTTTCGTTTGAAAATCACTCAGCCTACTAAGAACCAGGAAGTTCTCAAACTGAAGGCAAAAAGATAATCAACAGACACAAACACCAAGATGACACAGATATTGGAATTGTCTAACAAAAATTTTAAAGCAGCCATCATAAAAATGCTTCAATGGGCAATTACAAACATGCTTGAAACCTATGAAAAAGATACAGAGTGTCAGCAAATAAATAGAAAATATACAGAAGAATCAAAAGGAAATTTTAGAACTAAAAAATACGATAACTGAAATAAAAACCCTAATGAATGGGCTCAACAACAGAATGGAATATGGAACATTAGAAATTACCCAATTTAAATTACAGATAGAACAAACTGGAAAAAAAATGAATAGAGCCCCAAGGACATGTGTGGCTAGTATAACAAAAGGTCTAACATTCATGTCATTGGACTCGCAGGAGAGGAGAAAGAGGGGTGAGCCTGAGAAAATGTTTGAAGAAATAATGGCTGAAATGTCCCTAATTTGACAAAACAAACAAAAACCATATTATCTACAGATTCAAGAAGCTAAATGAATCCCAAACAAGATAAACCCAAAGAAATCCATCCCAAGACACATACTAGTTAAACTTATAAAAATTACACAAAGGAAAAAATCTTGAAAGCAACCACAGAGAGATGATGAACTTCTCCCAACAGAGAGAAAACCCATTCAAATGACAGTAGATTTTGTATGAAACACCATGAAGGTGATAAGGAAGTGAAACAGCATCTCTTAGATACTGAAAGTAAAGATCTATCAGCCCAGAAACATATATCTAAGTGAAAATATCCTTCAGGAATGAAAGGGAAATCAAGACAGTCTCAGGTGAAGGAAAACTAACAGAATTTTTAACCAACAGAGACTCTAAATGAATGGCTATAATGGAATTTTCTAAACAGAAAATGATCAAAAACTTTTAATTCTTTTTGAGAGAGAGACAGAGCTTGAATGGGGGAGGGGCAGAGACAGAAGGAGACACAGAATCTGAAGCAGACTCTGGGCTTTGAGCTGTCCACACAAACCCTAACACAGGGCCCGAACTCATGAACCATGAGATCATGACCTGAGCCAAAGTTGGACACTCAACTGACTGAGCCACCCAGGCACCCTTGAGAGAAAATGATTTTTTTAAAAAAGAAACTTTGGAACATCAGAAAGGAAGAAAGAACATGGAAAGAGCAAACCTATGGGCAAATACAAAGAACTTTCCTTCTCTTCTTGAGTTTTCTAAATTATGTCTGGCAAAGCAAAAACTATAACACCTTGTAATGCCATTCTCAGTGTATGTAGAAGAAGTATTTAAGACAATTATAAATGGGAGAGGGTAAAGGGATGTAAAGAGAGATAAAGTTTCTATACTTCACTTGAGCTGGTAAAATGTTGAAACCAGTAGACTTTGATAAGTTCTAGATAATGTAATGCTTAGATCAACCACTAAAACACTATACAAGGTGATATATTAAAAAACACTATAAATAAATCAAAATGGAATTTTAAAAATTGTTCAAGAGACCTACATGAGGTAGGAAAAAAGAAAACAAAGAAATTAAAAACTGAGAGAACAAATAGAAAACAAAATGACAGGCTTAAGCCTTACCATGTAAGTAATTACATTAACTGTAAGTGGTGTAAATACACAAATGAAGACAGAGATTGACAGAGTGAGTAAAAAACCAAGACCCAACCATATGCTGTCATAAGAAAATAACCTCAAATATAATTGAAAATAAAATGACATAACATTAATCAAAAGAAAGTAGAGTTCTTCAAAACAATTAAAAATAGAACTACCATTATGTTTGAGCAATTCCACTTCTGGGGTATTTATCAGAAGGAAATGAAATCACTAACTCAAAAAGTAGGGAACCTCCTCAAAATATTAAAAATAGAGTAACCATATGGTCCAACAATTTTACTTCTATGTATCTATCCAAAGAAAATGTAAACACTCATTCAATAAGATATGGCTGAAGCATTATTTACAATACCTAAGACATAGAAGCACTAAGTGTGCATCAATGGATGAATGGATAAGAAAAATGTGGTGTGTGTATATACAATGGAATATTATTCGGCCATAAGAAAAAAGGTAATCTTGCCATTTGTGACAACATGGATGGACCTTAAGGGCACTATGCTAAGTGAAATAAGTCAAACAGAAAGACAAATGCAGTCTTAACTCCCTTATATGTGGAATCTAAAAAACAAACAAAACAAACTCATAGATACAGAGAACAGATTGATGGTTGCCAGAGGCAGAGGGTGGGAGGTGGCCAAAAGTGGTGAATGAAGGTGGTCAAAAGATGCAGACTTCCAGTTATAAAGTAAGTCTTGGGGATGTAATATATAGCATAGTGACTATAGTTAATAATAATACTGTTATATTTGAAATTTTCTTTTATTTATTTATTTATTTATTTTTGAGAGTCAGAGAGACAGCGTGAGCAGGGGAGGGTCAGAGAGAGAGGGAGAGATAGAATCTGAAGCAGGCTCCAGAGTCTGAGCTAGCTGTCAGCGCAGAGCCCAATGCAGGGCTCGAACCCACAAACTGTGAGATCATGACCTGAGCTGAAGTCGGACGCCCAACCGACTGAGCTACCCAGGCACCCCTGTTATATTTGAAAATTTCTAAGAGAGTAGATCTTAAAAGAAAAAAATTATAACTATGTGTGGTGATGATGGATGTTAAGTAGACTTATTGTGGTGATCATTTCACAATATATACAAATACTGAATCATGTACACTTGAAACTAATATTGTATGTCAATAATATCTTAATTTAAGAAAAATAGACTTCAGAACAAAGAAAATTACCAAAGCTAGGAAGGAATGTTATAAGGAAAGGGTCAATCCACCAAGAAGACCTAGCAATGCTAAATGTGTGTGTGTACCAGACAAAAAAGCTAAAAAATATATGAAACAAAAACCAATAGAAAATAAAGTAGAAATAGACAAAGCCACAATTATAGTTGGAACTTTAGCATCCTTCCCTCAAAATGATAGAGCAACTAGACATAGAATCAGCAAGGATATATAAGAACTCAAGAATACATGTCA